AACTGCCACCCTGGGTCTGGTGCTTCAGATGTTCTTTTAGGGTTATAATCTTGGGGTTTTTTTGTTTGTTTTTTTTGGTATGTGCCCCTAGCGGGAACCGAAACTGGAACTCTCTAGTCCGCAGGCTGACGCTCCAACTGCTGAGCCAAACTGGCCGGGGCTAGCATTATAATCTCGATTCCATGATCAGAAAAGAGGCTCCGGAGAAAGAGCCTGCAGTAAGGCTTGAGTGGTTTGCCTGTGTGTGTTCCCACACTCCACTTCCCACAGGGCAGATGTGACTGCTGGCTGAAACACAGATCTCCGTGGAGACGTTTCCATTCTAAAATTTCTAGGAAGTGGAGGGTGCTTTCTGGAGAAGGTGCCAAAGTGTAGAGAGCACGAAGGGACACCAGAGATCTGGTCAGATTCTGCAGGGCTTTGCAGTACACCTAGGGCTCCATGCTGTGATCAAGAGGGAGGTGGAAATTGAGCAGAGTTGTATTTGCTCCATGAACACTTTTTTTTTTACTTTTTTGATTTTAGAGAGAGAGGAAGGGAGAGGGAGAGAGAGATAGAAACACTGATGAGAGAGAACATCGTTTGGATGCCTCCTGCATGCCCCCCACTGGGGACCAGGCCCACAACCTGGGCATGTGCCCTGACGGGGAATTGAACCAGCGACCTCTTGGTGCATGGGTCGACGCTCAACCACTGAGCCCCACCGGCTGGGCTGCTCCATGAACTCTTGCTGGTGATCTCATGATTTGGGAGAGGACTTCCTAAAATGAGGCCTTCTGCTCTAGGAACTGAACTTACATGGAAGGGTTTTATGATCAGCATAATTAGCTAGTTGTTAATATTAATAATAGGAATAGAGTAGAGAGAGAGTCAGACATTGTAAGCATGATCATCTGGGTAGCTTCACCAGGAACCACGGATCCATTTCCTGCAGATCACTGGGGGAAGGGATTGAACAAAGGGGGTGGCAGACACAAAGGTGGTAGAAGTTGGGGTGATGTAGGAAGGTACTTGCCTGTCAATCTAGCCTGGAGAACAATGGATTGGTTAAGGGGGGGCCCCATCAGAAATGCACAAATTCTTGAAAATCCTGGACAAAGAGTTCTCTCTCCCCTTTTCTCTCTTGCTCTGTAACCTGCACTAGACCATGCATTTGCAGGTTCTCTCTCCATAGCCATGTAGCCTTAAGCAGCCTGCATCTGGGAACACAAGCTAAGCTATCCTGGTGCCGGCCTGGACTGTATTTTTTTTTAATCCTCACCGGAAGGCATTCTTCCATTGATTCTTTTCATAGAGTGGGAGGGAGGAAGGGAGAAAGAGAGAAAGAAACATCTATGTGAGAAATACATCAATTGGTTGCCTCTTGCACAAACCCCACGGGGCCAGGGATCAAACCTGCAACCAAGGTATGTGCCCTTGACTGGAAATTGAACCCACTACTCTTTGATCCACAGGTCAACGCTCCAACCACTGAGCCAAACTGGCCAGGGCTGGACTGTACTTGAATATGGAACAGACACTATGGGCAGTCACCTTTATTCTGGCCCTGCTGAAGACAAGATTGAACTTCTTCCATGGCAAGACAGACAGAGATGAAACCTTGGAGGAGAACCCTCTTGTTTTGTTTTTTTTTTGGTATGTGCCCCTAGCAGAAACTGAACCTGGGACTCTCTGGTCAGCAGGCCAACGCTCCAACTGCTGAGCCAAACCAGCCGGGGCAGAGGGGAACCCTCTTAATATTACATCATTGCCCGGCTCGTATGGCCCAGTAGATTGGGCATTGTTCCACGGGCTGAGAGGTCTTGGTTCCATTCTTGGTCAGGGCTCGTGCCTGGGTGGCAGGCTCAATCCCCAGTGGTTGTGGGGGACATGCAGGAGGCAGCCGATTAGTGTTTCTCTCTCACACTGGTGTTTCAATCTCTCTCTCCCTTCCGCTCTCTCTAAAAAAATCCATTAAAAAATTACATTCTCCCATGGGGGCCTCAGGAAATTCTTTTCCTCTTATACCAGTAATAGTTTGAGACAGGCCAGTAAGCCAGGATAAGTGGAGTGGGGAAACTGAGACAGGCCGCTGAACAAACTGGCTGGACAATTTACAGCAGATACAGAAGGTCACCTCCCTAGAGGTAACTTCTAGGCCTCAGTTGTATTTCAGCTCCGGACCCAGAAAAGCAGCAAAACCAGGTGGGTAAAGCCAGGACCAGATGCCAGGACCAGCTGCAATGACTAACGACCCCTGCCCTGGCACTGACCAGGACCCTGAAAGAGCACACCTGGAAAACTGATGAATATTTTGCTGAAACCCTCCCCTGAGACCTCCCCTAAGATTCCTACCTGCAAGAGAAAGATAAAAGCCTCAAGACATTCCTGGCCAGTTTAGCTCAGTGGTAGAGCATTGGCCCGCAGACCAATGAGTTGTGGGTTCGATTCTGGTCAGGGGCACGTACCTTGGTTTCAGTTTCCCAGGCCCTGGTCAGGGTTGCGTGGGAGGCAACCAGTTGATGTGTCCCTTTCACGTGGATGTTTCTCTCTCTCTCTCCCTCCCACTCTATCTGAAGATAAATCGAAAAATATCCTCAGGTGAGAATTTTTTTAAAAAAAGCCTCAAGACAAAGGTCATTTCTTTCCCCCTCTTCTTCCCCCACAAGCACCCCGAGAGACTTGCAACCAGGGGAGGAATGGGCAGCGACAGCTCATCCCAGGCTAATCCCCTGAACCTGTCCCCAAGGCCTTCTTTTCTCTGAGTTCCCAGATTGCTAAGGCAGCCCAGCCTAGGTGAACAGGGCAGAAAAAAATATTAGAATTATAGAAAATATTAGAAGAGTAAGAAAACTAATCATAGTGGGGCACTAGCCATAAATAGAAAAATGTTAATCATCTTTTAAAATGTTAATCATGATTACTTTGTTCTGCTTAAAGGAAAACCCATTCTGACCTGGCTGGAATTTCCCTCAGGAATGCTGTCCGTTCTCCTAATGTGAGGACAAGGGGCACTACCAGACATCATGGAAAGATTAACAACCTGATTATCTATAGGATAATCGGCCCAGCCCCCAGCTTACATTCCTCCCCCCCTTGCCTGTCATTGTTTCTTGACCCTTAAAAGCAGTTGGCAAATGAAGAGGACACAGCAGATTTTCGGATAGCCCACTGCTCTCCCATACTGTGGGCAATGTTGGAATAAACGCTCATATACGATTCAGACTCATCTCTGCTTATTCGGCTCAAGCACTGACGGGCGGCCTGGACCCATTGGTTGTCTGGTTTCATAGGCCCTCTGGTTGCTTCTTCTACCATATGCCCTTGCTTGTTTTACTGACCCCAGCTTTAATAAACATACCCTCATAGTCACCTGGACTTGTGTTGTGAAATTTCCACTGCACGAAGTCAAGAACCCACACACTACTGGCTGGCCCTAGGCAAACCCGCTCAGGGGCAGGTCACCTGTCCAGAAACAGATTGGGGCGGCTGGGGGAGATGACTCACCATGATATCCACCAGTCAATTCCCTTAAGTAACTCCTAGTTAAGTTATATCTATACGAATAAACATATAGTGTGTGTGTGAGTAGAGGGGCAGGCAACTTAAGAAACATTATGCTGAGTATGCCTATGAGCTTCCAGTAAGTTCTGGGCCCTTCCTTCCTAAGCCATTTTCTACAGAAGAGCTGGACTGGCCACTGGGGATGATAATGTCAGGAAGAGTGCTTAGTGATGGGTTTGGAATCAGCAACTGCTCAAGTTGTCCTGGTCGTCTAGCTGTGTTCTCTTCTAGATGTGTTTTGTCAAGTCAACCCTCATCCATTCAAAAAGAAAAAGGGTCAACAGGCAGTGAAAGATGTTTAGTGGTAGTGTTGATCTACAGCTAATAGCATGAGATAAGCACCTTATGTAAAACTGTTCAGCCACCCGCAGCGGCAGCCTTGGTCTAATGGAAAAAACATGGATTTTGGAACTGTACAAACTCGGGCAATGTTTCAAAACTTCCCAGAACCCATTTCCTCACCCCTAAAGTGGACTGATAGTGCCTTCTTCCATTTGAAGCTGTGAGGGTTGAGAGGGATCCCGCCCAAGATTGTGGTAATTTACATCTCAACTCAGGACTCTGACTCTAACAGCTGCTCGCCTGGTTGAAGCAACTTCAAGCAGGAAACGTCTTAGCCCCCAGGGACAGTGATTCTAAATTCCACCTCTATGGATGTTTGAAGTTTCAAACCTAAAAAGTGCATTTGGCTTAAAAGCTTAGAATTGTTAAAGACGTTCATCCCAACTTCTATCTAATAATGAAACAATTTGAATGTTGTCCAGGAGGAAACTGATTGAATAAATCAGCATAGCTATGTGGTAGAATACTTCGAGGCATTAAGAGTGTGCTTAAAAAAAAAAAAAGTTTTTATTGATTTTTGAGAGAGAGGAAGGGAAAACGAGAGAAACATCCACGGGCTGCCTCCTGCACGCCGCCTACTGGGGAGCCACTGGCAACCCTCGGTTGTGCCCTGACCGGGACGGAACCAGACCTCTGGGAGCATGTAACAAGGCTCAACCAACTGAGCCACACTGGCCAGGGAATAAAAGTGTGCTTTAGAGTAGTATTTAGTGACAAGAAAATGCTTGTTATACAATAGTAAGCAAAACAAAAGCAATAAACAAAACTTATACAATATGACCTCACTCTGGAAAAAAAAAGTAAAATACGTAAGGGCAAAGAAGCACCCAAAGCAAGCGCTTTCCACTGGGAATGGGTCGTGGGTGGAATCATGTGCTTTTCGTCCTGTATTTTTTTGTTTTTTTAAGTTTCCATCAATGATCACGTATTGCCTTTAAATCCGCAAATACAGGACTAGTGAAATACATGACCAGTGAATTCGTCCTGGACACAGGACGGGCGCGGGCGGGACCGGGGCGGACCCCAGAGCCCCACTGGTGGCGTCCGAGACCCCGCCCCACGGGCCGACGCGACGGGGCGGGGCGCGGAGCCCCTCCCAGCCCAGCCCAGCCCAGCCCAGGCCCGAGCAGGCGGTGCCGGACTGCGACGCCTCGAGGCCTTGAACGCACCGTCCGGATCAGCCAGGCAAGCCAGGGGGCCGCGGCCGAGGGATTTGGGGACTGCGGGCCGGCGGGGACTGAGCCAGGGCTGGGGCGGTGCTGGGCCGGGGCCCCAAACTTTCTCGGAGTGCGCGGCGGGCTGGGCCACCCGGGAGCCGGTGCCAGAACGGGCATCCGTCGCTCTCTCCTTGGAGTTTCGCTTTCCCTCTGCGCCTGGGGCAGACGAGTGTCGCCTGTTTATTTTTGGGAGCCGAGCGCAGGTTGTGGGCACCGGCGAGCGGGCTAGGGTGTGAGGGTGTCATGTGCCCCTCTTTCTGGCGCGTGTCTGTCACGGGGCGTATCCACAGCCGCAGAGGGGCCAGCTGTGCGTGGAAGGAGGGCTCTCATGGCCCTCAGCTGGGAGCGAGAGTCGGCGCAGGGCGCACCCGCCTCAGGTGGCCCCTTGGTGTAGACAGGTGAAGGAGTATTCTAGTGAGTGGGGGAAGAGAAAGGGTGGAAATAGTGAGCAACCCCTGCCTTTGGCATGGGGAAGTGGCCACCTCTGTCACCATGGCTTCGTCCACTTTCCTGCTTCCTGCCTCTTCCCTCAGGCTGGATTCAGAAAGCTACAGGGTCAGTACTGTTCTCCTCCTGGCCCCTTAGGGTCATAGTAAAAAGCAAGCAGGAAAATGGGAAAGGGGTAAACAAGTGGATGATGGGAAAGAAGCCAGGGACAGTGGGAGGGTAAGTGAAGGGAGAGTGCTGGGAGGCCTGGCCCTGATCTTGTGGGTTCTGCATCAGTTCTTGTCTCCTGGTGGGGGGTCTCCATCCCCTCTCAGCCCACTGTGGCCTTGACCAGTGGGGTTCTACCTGAGGAACCTGGACATGGGATAGATGAGGGTAGGCCTGGGAACCAGGGTCAGAGCCACACACATGTCATGGAAGGTCCCGCAGGTGTCCAGTTCTCTGGGGCTCTGAAATATTCATCTCACTGGTGAGCTTTGGTTTCAAAGCTGGCGCCTTTGGCCTGGCCAGCGGTGGCAGGGGGAGCTGGGTGCTTCCTTGGGCCTGCTTTGGCTGGGACAAAGGGGCAGTCATACTACCTTCTCACCTACCTGCTCTCCCTGTCTCTCCAGTCATGAGGACCCAGAGACCCAGTTTGTAACTTAGAAACGAGCGGTGGGACCACTCCGTCAAGGGCCCTGATTTCCTGTCTTCTTATGCTATGGTCTCAGGGCCTCGCTTGTAAAAATGGGCACCTCAAAGAGGTAATGACAGGTTACACCTTAAGTGTGGGGAGAACCTCATGTCCTGAGCTGAGGTAATAGCTCCCTCAGCTTAGCCCCTCCTGTGGGAATGGAGGCCTTAGCTAGAAGCTGCCCACCTCAGGGCACTTCCATCCCCCAAACTTCTCACTCTGGGCCTTCGGAAAGAGCAGAAGCCCTGGAGAAGGGACACACATGTGTGTCTTCAGAGGGTTGCACTGGGAGGGCCAGGGAGTGGAAGCTCAAGCTCAAACAGCTCTCTTGGAAGGCCCCCGTGAGCAATGTGATATAAGCTTTCTGGAGCGTTCTGTTGGGAATGCCTTGGAGAGGATGGCCTTGACCGAACCTGCCAACCCTAAGATTCTGGAATTCTAGGCCAAAACCTGGGGTTTTTTTTGGTTTTTTTTTTATCCTCATCCGAGGACATTTTTCCATTTTTTGTACAGACAGAGTGGGAGGGAGAGAGAGGAAGAGAGAGAGAGGGAAACATCGATGTGAAAGGGACACATCGAGTGGCTGCCACCCGCACGACCAACCAGGGCTGGGGACAAACTGCAACCGAGGTACGTGCCCTTAGCGGGAACCGAACCCTGGTCTCTCGGGACCGCAGGCGGACGCTCTAACCGCTGAGCAAAACCGGCCAGGGCTGGGTTTTGTTTTGAAGTAGAAATGATACCCAGAAGTCCACAGACCACAGTGCTAGGTATCTAGGAGGTACTTAATACAGTGGTCAGGGAGGAAGATAAGAATGAGTCCTTATTCTTGCGTGTGATGGTTTGTATGTTTTCTTGTTACATTACGGTGATATCAGGGGATGCCAGCCTCCTGGTTCTATGAGAGTTGGGGATATCATCCAGCCCTTGGCAGTAAATCCCACTGTGGAGTTTATAATAGCAGCTGGGGGAAGGAGGAAGAGGAAGGACCCTCTAAGAGGATTTGGGCACTGAGCTGACTCCCAGGGGCTGTGTGCAAGGACAGGGGTTTTAAGACATGAGGTGTTAGCTAGTCAATAATATTGTAGGACATGTTTGAAAGTTGCTGAGTAAATCTTTAAAGTTCTTGTCACAAGAAAAATAATTTTCTAAGTTTGGTGATGGATGATAACGACTTATTGTGGTGATCATTTTGCAGTATATACAAATATTGAATTACTGTGTTGTACACCTGACGCTTATGTAATGTTATATGTCATTTATACCTCAATTTAAAAAAAGATAAAAGGTTGTGGGTTTGATCCGTGGTCAGGGCACATACAGGAAGCACCCAATGAATGCATAAATAAGTGGAACAACAAATTGATGTTTCCTTCTTTCTCCCTTCCTCTGTCTCTCTAAGATCAATAAATAATAACTAAAAAAAAAAAAAAAAGCCCTGGCTGGTTTTGCTCAGTAGCTAGAGTGGCAGCCCATGGACCAAAGAGTCACAGGTTTGATTCTGGCCAAGGGCACGTACCTTGGTTGCGGTTCATGCCCGGTCCTGGTCGGGGTCATGCAAGACGCGACCAGTCAATGTGTCTCTCTCACATCGATGTTTCTCTCTCTCTCTCTCTCTTTCCACTTTACTCCTCCCCTCCACTCTATCTAAAGATAAATGGAAAAAATATCCTTGAGTGAGGATTAAAAAAAAAAAAAGATATGCATTAGGACCTGAGTCATTCTCAGGGTTGGGTCTATCTGTAAAACACAGGTGGCCTGGCCAGCATCCCATAGGATATTATTAATTAGGTGTGCTTTGATATAAATGTTTTGAGCTTAAGAAACTTTGTGGGAACACTAGGCTGGACAAAGTTGACCGGGTGCGCTCACTGCAGGACTCCTCAGCAGCCTAATGTGCCATTGTGCCTTGTGAATTTCCAGAAGCGGGGGACATGGACAGCTTTGCAGACTGATCTGTTTCAGAGCTCATCTAGTCCCCTCTCCTGGGCTGTGTTCCTTAGAGCAGTCTGGGAAATGCTGGCTTGATTCTAGCTCTTCACTCTGGTTCCCCGTAACTAATCCCTGGTCCTCTCCCCGAGGTGGGCTTGTTTGGGAGAAAAGGAGGCCAAGGGAGGTCATTTGCTTGGATTCCCACAACTAGTTAGTGGCATAGTTAGAACTTGAATGCAGGGTTCTTGGCTTTCTGCCTCATTCTTTCTTTCTAGTGCTACCTTGTTTCTCTGCAGGCTCTGGGGTGAGTGAGCCCCATAGGAGAGGCTGGCCATGGGGTCCAGAGGGCAGTTTGGGAGGAGAGGCAGTTTTGACTACCCTATACCCAGAACATGCCACATGTCTCTGCCTGTATGGATGGTCCTCCAGACCGGTTAACATGGGTAGTGAGTGACCTCAGCCTAGATTCTTCAGGAAGTAGGCCATTGTGCCCTGAAGCCTCCGGTTCTGGTTTGTACGGCTGTTCGTTCAGATTCGAGACTATTGGAGTTGGCATGGACTTTGGTCTTTTGGTTCAGTGCACTTGTTCAGAGATGCAAAGACTGAGTCCAGAGATGTGAAGTGGCCTACGCTGACACACAGTGGAGTCAGGACCAGGGCCCGGACACGGACTCAGCTCCCTGCCTCCTAACCCAGGGCCCTGCCCTGTATTGACTTTCTACAAGGGGAAAGGGCCTGGTATGAACAGCAAAGATCTTTTCTACCTCAGCCCGCCCTGGATGCTGACTTCATCACTCAGGTGACTGGTGACCTCATCACACAGGTGACTGGAGGGGGAGTCTCAGGGGCATCTGCTCTAGGCAGGTGTAAAATCAGACATCAGATCTGGGTTCAAGCCCACCTCTGCCGTTCGCCTGCTATGGGACCTTAGATGTTTTCCTCTGACTTTCGGTTTTGTCATCTGTAGAGTGGAGATACGAATATTCGTCCCATTGGATCCTACGTGTCTGAGTCCCATTTAGTAAGCACTGTGTACTTACTACTTACTGTGAGTGATTCTCTCCCTTCCCTCCTTGTTTGCTGGCGTTCTCATTCCTCATCTGCACTCCAGGCCGTTCTGACCACGACTTGCCCGGGATCTTTGAGATGACCTGCACCGATGACACGGTTCTGCCCTCAGAGAAGGGTGATGGGGGAGCTGTGGATGCCTGGGTCCTCCCTGCTCTCCAGCTTTCCCTTCCTTGGAGCCTGGAGTCTGACCGGAGAGAGGCCGCCCTGGCTAGGCTGGGGCTGGGAAGGAAGTCATGGGTTGAGAGTCTTATCTGTTTCTGGGCAGGAGGGCACAGAGGACTGGGGAAATGGGTGGACTGTTCTGGCTCCACTTCAGGCATGTGTTCTACTTTCTGTTTCTCTGAGTTCTCAGACAGTGGGCAGGGCTGGGAATGAAGTCCCAAATCCATGACCCAGAGGCCTTGTGGGCAGGGGCAGAAACTTTCTGGGCTTTGGGGTTCCCTTGTCTGTCAAATGACCAGATGATTTCTCAAGTCCATTCCAGCTCTGACATTTCAGGTTTTAGATCTGCTCAGCGTCATCCTATTAATCCCAGGGGCCAGGCAGACAGAAGGATAAGTGGATTCTGGGCCCCTTGGTCCCTGTGCGTCAGGCCTGGTGACTTGCCCAGATGCTCCTGGGTGTATCTTTTTACTCCTCTGCCCTGGTGGCTATATGCTGGGGTAGGAGGGTGAAGTGTTTTCTTAGCAGGGAGGGGAGAGGGCTGGGAGAGCTGGGATAGGTAAAGGAAGAGGGAGGTAAAGAGACTGTTATGAGAGACCTCGTTACAGTGGGCCGGGGGCTGCCCTTCCGTGCCTGCTGGGTGGGGTTTCCTGAGATGTGCACTCTGAGCTATTCTTTCCATT